TCTACATTGCTGTCTCAGGCAGCAATGACCACTGGCGAAGTAAGTGTTAGTGTTGACTGCGTCCAGTCATGCCTAAGAGAGCTTGAGACAGCGGTGGCAGCTACTTTTTTATGGTTGTGAAGCAACTTCAAGTGGGTGTTCCATTGGTTTGTTGCGTTAGCCGAGGGGGGGGAGCGTGTTCAGGTGGCCCTTAGGCAATCGCGACTATTTGGACGCACGTGGGCGTGAGTGGAGTTCGGACAAGGGGTCTGCAGGTCACCGGATCGGAAGGGTCTCCCCGCGAAGTTGCATGACGTTAAGGCGGTGGGCATTGAATAGTGAAGTCGGACACCAATGTTAGCTATCCGCCACACATCCTTAAGTCTCGTATACTTCTGCACCGCGTTTATCGTGATCGCTTGACTCCCTCTCCAGCTAGTATCACCTTCACTTAAAAAACTCTAATGCCTAACTTGGTCTTTGAACGTGCGCAGTTCGTTGCCTAGAGGAAAACCGCGACGCATTAGTTGTTGGACTGAACTCGCAAACCTGCTCTTTCGCACATTAAGGTCAAGTATGGGGGACTTTTGGTAAATGGAACCCAGGTGAGAAAGTGGCCTATAAGAGGGGGGGAACGTAGCTCATCCATGCTGCACGGCTTTCCTTCTCGATACTGTATTCCGTTATCAACCGACTCATCTGGGGAATGTAGCTCTCTTTCCAGCAACCGAATCTTCTTCCGCTTAGGCTGAAAAAATTAAGGAAAGCGTTCACGGGTTAATGTGTACGCAAACCAATTGGATCAGGCAAAACACTTACCGCGTTTATTTTTTTTCAACTGAACTAAATTCACTTCTAATTTGAGGGTTCATATAAGCCTCCCTTCTCCATCTAAATCGTGTCCTACCGAGGAGTTTCCCCCTGATTCTATGTAAATCGCATTTTACTGTGTACTATCTTGACTCGGCACTGTAATGCACGCGCTTAAAAGCTTGTGATTTCGAAAATTTCGGGGGGAGGGGGTGACATTGTACTTTATTTTTTCTTCATCGTATGATTTTAGATTCCCCTCTATAAAACTGAGTGAGCGCATTTGCATTAATCGATTTTTTAATGGAGCAAATTTAACTCGACATCGCCAGTTGAAAAAATCTGAATGCAGCACACTTTGATAATTATATTTGTTTCCCGATTTATCACGGCTGTCTTGTTGTCAGTTCTAGTTATTACGTTGGGTAACCAACATACAGTAGCTGAAGAAGGAATTTGCTCATATCTTTTTTTACTTTTAGTGCCCGAACTGAAACAGAGGATAGCAGACTGGAAGAAGTCGCGGGAACAGGAATTGCGTGGCCGTCAGGCGACCGAATAACGGCAGCCGTTTACTTCTTTTCTCACCTCCTCCGCCGCCCTTGTCCTTGCCCTTCCACCTGGACCACTTCCGCCAACCTGGATTGTTGTCAAGTTTATCCGGTTGCGCAGCTTTTCGTTATCCACATACAAAAGTACACGTTTCTTAAAAGTTGTTCTTTTTTTACTATTACAAGATTCTCTCTTGTTGTCTCATGACTTTCCCGGGGCGTGGGCACTTTTTTCTGGAGTGTGCGAAACAAAAGCCTGCGTTTCTTATTTCAAGTTTACTGACTGACGAAGTGCAGAAGGATGCTCCATCATTGTCGGATATGTGTATTCATGCTGTTGGATAAGAGGACGGGCTTTCGTGTTAGGTTCGAAATGCGCAAAATGGTTTTCGATTCATCCTCTGAGAATTATTCCTCTGTGTTTTAACTTCTAGTAGAAGCTAATTGGAAGGTGGATAGGCAGGACTTTGGTGGAGATGGGCTCGCCGCTCAGGTTGCTGGGTATGCTTATCCCGTCGCGTAATGACTAGTAGTATTTGCGAATGGATAAGTGCGTATGCTTTACTCGCACCACAAAGGCTCCAACTCTGGCTTCCGTTAAATGGTTCCTTATTTTTTCAGCCATCGGGCCCTCCGCGGTTAGCCACTCTCGATTAAGTCCCCTTTTCTCTGACCAATGTGTTGACATCCAGCACTGACCATAAACGTTAACCTGATTTGGTGTTCTAAATACATGTGCTTAAAAATTTCATCGAGTTCGAGTGTGCAGCAAAAAAGTGTTAATAATATTGAACATAGAATTGGACTTTGTCTATAAGTTTTGAAGAACATTCATCTCTGATAGAAAGGTCGGTACAATTGGTGCTTTTTCGTACCATTTGCAAGGCAAGTCGAAAAACCGACCAAAATGTTCACCTCCAGTTCTGGCAGCGGTTAGTATTATCAAAAGAGTTGTATTTTAAGCAGCCTAGAATAAACGTTTTCGAGAAAATGGGAAGCGTATTGTTTGCTGGTGGGAATTTGCTTGGGGCTGGTATCCACCTTGTGATCATTCGTGTTAAGGCTACCTAGAAAGAAAGTTTCAAGATTTCTTCCTTCATCAACAACGATAGGACGCGAATTCGCCCGGAAGAGTGAATATTTATTTGGTCATGCTTTTACTAAGCTCGACAAACCACCTCAATTCCAGGGAGGTGCCTTGACACGTTATGCTCCTGCGTTTAAGCATATTAACAAAGCTCATCAGGCGAGGATCATAGCTAACGTGATTTTTTTTATTGATGCCAAAAATATTAAAGGAACTCTTTTTTCGTGTGCTCGTTCTTCTTCTGAACTGCTCTTTGCCTGGCTGCCCTTTAAAAGTGCAAACGTAAACGGCGCAAAGCTCTTTTCAGTCGATTTACTTCGGCTCATTACTGTAGAAGTTCGCGCAGTTTTTCCTACGTTCTTGCTCTCTGAATATCATCATGAAGTGCTATTGGCAACTGCTTGGGTCGCTGGATTGGGTATTTCTGTGTTACTGTATTTCGTTGACCACTCCAGTGTCATTAATCTTCGTCAGTAATATATCTTAATTATTGATTACTTCTCACTAACCAAAGGTGACGACGGTGTTGGACTGCGGCTCGAAGACTAATCAGAACGCAAGTACTCAGTCGTACAGTCAGAAAATGAACGTCACTCTCAGACTACAAATTATATTGCGCTGTTATCACGTGAAACCTCAAAAGTACGTTATGCAATACGGGATATATTTAGGCAAGCATACTCCTCGGTAACGACTTTATAAGGATAACTGGAGCAACGTTCTCGTTTAAAGAAAATATGGAGAAGCGAACCAACCATATTTCCGTGTCCGTTCCCTGGATATTGAATTTGAAGAAGAAAGTGGATAGACAAGGTACGCTTGTCATGGTTCTTGGGGGCTAAGACTATGCGAAACCCGCGAATCATCTAGGCCGTTTGTATGCTACTGTCACTGCCAAGGAAACTGTTCTTAATTATGCACCTCTCCGCATTTTTAGTAACTGTTCAGGCTTTAAGGATAACCGTCTGAATACGATAGTCCCTCTGGGTATCAGTAGAAACTGACAATTCAAAATCAGCGCCTTCGCACGAACGCACCAAAGAAGCATTTGAAAATTAATCTCTCTAATTGTCACCCCCTCCTCCAATAAAACGAGATTTTCTCACCGCTGCTTGGGAGCCTGTCAAAGATTACTTAGTCCATAAACGTTCACTGAAACTATCATTCACAAAGTAATCCTCGCCTGCCGCTGCTGCTTTGCAATAAAAAATGTTGACGTACTTGGAAAAAAGATAACGAATTGCTTTATTCTCCCGCACCCAATGGGGTTTTAGAAAAAAACTCCATTTCTTTCTAAATGGATAGTGGTTTCAGAGCTTATCACAGCGGAGATCGAACTTAAGTGATTCTTTTTTTCCTTTATTTTGTCAAACCAAAAAGAGAAGACCCGGTAATAGGTGGTGACGCAAGTTGTTCAATTCTTTCGTATTAACCGAAAGGCAGGCATCCCAAGAAATGAAATTTCATGGAAAGGCATCCTTT